CTCGACGTTCGGCGAGCGAATGATAGCGCAGCGACCTTCAGTTACACGAAGGCACGCAAAAACATCGTACGTCACAGCGCCGAGAGACAAACAACAAAAAAACGTTGGAATTCGTTGGCCCGCCTACGAAATGGAAAATTCTTTACCTTGTTGTTTTTCTTGCCGCGCGGTATCGTGCGACGTTACGCGGGCCATTGTTTTCGCGGAGGTCGCCGCGCTATCATTCGCTCGCCGAACGTCGAGCCGGCAAGCAGTGGCGAGAGTCGCTCCGTGTGTGGTTATTACTTTTGCGTTATCTGTCTCCGAAACTCGATCGATCGCGATAAATGCAGGGATAAAACACTATTGATTTGCACACCTTTATCAGTAACAGGTAACGTTCCTCGATTAATTAAGTTTCTACAACTTATAATGAGAAACGCTTGTATGTTGAGGCGACGGCTCTTTATCAACGTACACCTAGATATTTCACGAGGCTAACTCATCTAATTGTAAAATATGAAGGTAAATTGTGGTACTTTGTCGCGGTTACATCTCGCTTACGCAACGCGCTTTTAATTAACTATCGATTTCGTGTAATTTGTTCCATTTTCGGGAAAAGAGAGAAATTTGTACGACTTCGATATTCGCGCTGTAATTCGCTCTGTCATTCTTCGCAACTCGAACGGGCAGAAAGTAAAGAAAGTCGCTTATCGCACGTCGTTACATTATGCTAATGTAATCGAAAATTATCTCGATTAACTGTTGCAAGTAATAACAACTACTTATCGCTGAAAATTTCGCTCACATAATTTATTTCGAGGATTAGATTGAATGACAGAAAGTCTTGGAAACCGATAACGCAAAAGTTAATAATATTTCGTGCGTGTCACGGTATTTCACGTCGCGTACGGGAGTGCCCGAAATTTCGCGCGATCGATGATTTTCGCGAGTGAGTGTGGTGTAAGTGCAACAAGGAAATCCGAGAGGAGGAGGTGGCCGAGGAGGCATCGGGCAACGGCGGAGAAATGGTGAGGTAAGTGTCTCACATTTTTATGTTATCTGCTACTTGTGCAAAATCAAACATCTGTATTTTTATTTAACTTATTCAAATGATTCGAACGTGGAGTCGAATAAGTGACAAAAGCATAAATATACACAGAAAAAAATAATATTCTTCTTTTGAAAATATGTTTAGTTTCAACGTGAAAATCTTGAAATAAGATTATATTGCGTTAAACGAAGAAAACTTGCTTGAATGAAGCAATTTTATAGAATTCAATCAAAGAAAATATATACTTATTATTTAAGAATAATTTCCTTGAATGGAAAGGAAATAATATTGAATAGGAGATAACATATTTTCAAATCGAAGATTATAATTTTCTTAGAGTAAAATTACATATTGTATTCTTGAAGTGACAATTATAGTATTTAAATAAGACTGTAATATTGTTGGAATATAAGATTATTAAATGCTTCAAAGAAGATTATAGATTGTTGCGTATATACGAAACAATGAACGCGTTAATTTGAGTATATAAGAGTTTATTTGACACTTATGTTTTTTCTGTGTACAATTTTGTGAGTTTATATTTAAAAGAAAGACTTTTTCTATATAAGTATTTTAATAAATATCTATTTTAAAAATATAAGGTATAAAGTATATTTCATACAATAATTTCGATTTGACATAATTACTCTATAATAATCATATACATATTTGTATGTTACAGTTTACCATATACATATAGTTAACGATGTACAACTCTGCTGTTGCGAATCGTATCAGTGAGTGATAAATGACTTTTTATTTTAAAGTGACGTTGCGCATACAATTATTTCTTTGCATGTATACAAATTCATAAAAATTCACAATGCTCAAGTACAAACTGCGCGAAGCGCGCGTTTTGTCATTTCTAGTAAACTACAAAAGTGAGATGAGGAAACAGTATACATATTGCAAACATAATTGTATTAATATTTTAAAATAATATCGCTACAACATTACTGAAGTAATATTGTAAAATAATATCTCTGCAATATCTAGGTATGTGCCATTGCACTGCAATATGCAATGTTGCAGCAATGTTGTTGCAAGCT